TGCGGCGGTGAAGAGGGGCCTCGAGGAAGGGAGGGAGTTTCGAGAGCATAAACGAGCCAAGAGGTCCGGTGCTCCCCTGTCTGGGGCAGAGGTGGCGCATGGCAACGTGCCCCAGCACTCAGGTGGCGGCGCTGCGCAGTCTGCCTGGGTTGGATGAGAGAGGGGGGAGGAGCAAGCATTGGCTGGATGTGCAGTCTGACTGCCGCTGACTTCCCATACATGCATCCCTACATGTATGGATGCATGTACCTTTCATGTACAGCAGAGTGTGGATGGAGTGGCGGGGAAGGACTGCACCCATGGTTGTCTTCATGCGTCACTCACTTTTTCTTTTGTGGGTGTGAGCTTTGACGCAATGCACACGTGTCATGTGCTGGACGCGCCGATGCAAGTGGAAGTTTTGTGATGACGAGCAACAGCCTCGTCGATATGTGATTGGCATGAGTGTTTTCCTTGCTCCTTTCCTCCCATTCATTCATTCATCTTAACTCCGTCCGCATGTTCGTAGGCTCGGCGAGGGGATCAGACGCGACAGCTTGGCGAGGGAAGCAACAGCATCTGAGGTTTGCTTCGGTTTGCGGGTGCGGGTATGGAGTTTTCAACGGCTTAAAACAGCTTCGTGTGCGTGTAACCCTATTGCGTTTGACAGAGGCCAATCAACACACAAAAAAAACAAATATGGCTCTCCGGAGCTTACATTCCCTTGCTGCGCACACATCCTGATTATCCACGTTAACTGCCCAAAGCGACGTTAACGGCTGCTTTGACTTTCCATCCAGGGGCATGTTCACTGGAGATGGCTTTTCTCGTCGTCGTGACGATTGTGTTCACCCTGTGGCACCCCACGCTCAGCATCAGACCGCTCTCGAAGTTCGGTGGGGACCAAGTGACTGCCGAACAAGCTGCTATCGATGGGAAACTCAGCTGGACCCTCTCGTCGCTGATTGGCATCAAAGAGGAAGATGGTGGGGTCCGTGCACCCGCGACCGTCATCCGACCTCGACGTCGCAATGGCATTGACCCGAAGAGGCGAGCAGATGATGCTGGCCAAGAGCAGGTGCAGCCGGACGGCTTCACGACGTTTCGACCTGGAGACCTCGTGACTGCTGACTTCACGACAAAGAGCGAGGCGGATGCCTCCAAGCTGCTGGCCGACCTGGAGGAAATGGGGCTCCAGAACGGCACGGCCTTCAAGAATGTGTGTGAGACGACATAAGAGGAGGATTCTTTAGATATGCTTCATATGGATCTCATCTTGCTGCTTGTACTCAGGTGGTATCGGGCCTGCTTCCCATCTCGGCCGTCGACAAGCTGCCCTCCCTGCCTGAGCTCCACTACGCACAGCGCAGCTTTGTCGTCTTACGAGGGGCGTTCGCATCACTGCACAGCCTCGATGAAGCGAAGGGCCTGGCGACGTCCCAGAGCGACACAGCCCAGCATGTCGACCACCTTCGGATGACGCTAGGGCTGACGGGGCGAGGGCAAAGGATAGGGATTCTATCTGACTCGTTTGACGCTGCCACGGCCGCTGCTACGTCGGCGGCGAGGGACATCGCGACGGGTGATCTGCCGCAAGAAGGCGTCACGGTGCTGCAAGACGGCCATTCCGGCGATAAAGATGAAGGCAGAGGTCAGCAGAAACGAAAATTGGACACACTGAGACTGGTGGTAGTGAGTGGTGCTTTTGTCTGTCAGCAATGGCTCAGTTGATCCATGATTTGGCACCTGCCGCGCAGCTTTCGTTCATCACTGCGCACGGCGGAACAGCTGGCTTTGCACGTAACATCCTTCGCCTGGCCCAGTCCAACGATATCGTTGTTGACGACGTATGCAAGGCACAATTCGTAGCTGTAGTACTCGAGTCCCTCGTCGCTCAACCAGCCAGAGATGCGAGCAGGAATCACTCTCTTGTTTCCGTTCCGTGTTTTTTAGATCGGTTACAACGCCCAGCCCTTCTTTATGGTGAGAAGATGAGGGAGCCCTGCAGTCCGCAAACCGATGCCTCCCATCTATCTATGTGTTGGTTTCTGCAGGACGGCATTGTTGCCGAAGCAGCACAGGAAGCCAGCGACATGGGCGTCATTTACGTATCGGCAGCTGGCAAGTATGTGTGTGCGTCAAAGGCCGATGTATCGCTTGCTGACTGACTGAATGTCCGTTTGTTGACTCCATTTTTTGTGCTTGTGTGCAGTGACGGTGTGAATGCATATCAGGCCCCTTTCAGGGACGGAGGGCAACGCAGGGTGGGACGAGTCTCATATACGATGCATGATTGGGACCCCACTGACGCGGTTGTGGACTACCAGGTACCTCTGCTCCTTTTCTCCCACTTTCACGTGATTGTCTGTCCTCATGGATGCAATGCAGGTCATCATGTTACCCGTCAGGGGCGCGCTGAAAATGGTTCTTCAGTGGTCAGTGACTCGTAGAACGTGACGGAGTGGATGGATGATACATGTGCTGATTGATTGCCATACAGGAGCGAGCCCTGGTTCTCCGCCACAGGAGGTGCCAAAGGCTCGGGCTCAGACATCGACCTGTTGCTGTTCGACATGGATGACAACCTGCTCAACGGCCAGACAGGTGAGTGAAAGGAAACAACCAGACTGGCTCCGGCCTTGTGGCCGCATTCGCTGCTGCCGTATTCGACAGGAACTGGCATTGACGACAACATCGGCAGGGATGCTCATGAGTTCCTCGCTTATCAGAGTCTGGGCCCTGACATCACCTTCAAGCTGCGCATTGGTCTGCACAAGGGTCGTCCCCCATCCCTTATGCGTTATTTGCTCTTCTCTGACAACGATGCCGTCCCCCTAACATACTTCACTGGTTCCTCTCCCACCATCTATGGACATCCGAACGCGCCCGGGGCAATAAGCTGTGCAGCTGCCTACGTACGTAAGACACAGACGGATAAACAGCGATCACGGCAGGCGCATACATCTTGTGTTTGTCTGTTGTGTGCGGTTGTCATCTCAGTATGCCGACACACCACGGTTCGGACAGTTCACAACTGCGCTTGCTGAGCCGTTCACATCACATGGGGGCACACCCATTCTCTTCAACAAGCAGGGTGAACCAGTCCACGAGATACGCAAAAAGCCCGACGTTTCGGCTGCGGTAAGGACGACAGAGCGGGGGGGGAGGGACATGGCTTGCTCAATGTGGCTGTGTATCGAATCGAATCAGGATGGAGCGCACACGACCTTCCTCGGGAAGCTGCCTGGAGACAATCCACGTGAGGGAAACAGAAAACTCCCTTTCGCGCCATCTGTGTGCATTGTTGTCTTTCGCGCTGGTCCCGATCAGAGTGGCCTAACTTCTTTGGCACGAGCGCTGCAGCGCCCCACGTGGCGGCCGTTGCGGCTCTGCTGAAGGAATGGCAGCCCGACCTGACTCCCGCTCAGGTCTGGGATGTGCTGACCAGCACCGCTCACGACATGAACGATAACATCAAGCACACGCACTTCGGCCAAGGCGACTTCTCTGTTGGCCGCGATAATCAAACTGGTTATGGTCTTGTAGATGCATTCGCTGCTGCCGTCTCGCTCGGTGGGCATGTCATGTGTGCACGTATGATTGGATGCGTCAACCAACCGTCATCTGCTCATTGCGCCGTTTGGTCCGTGTCTTCAATTCAGCCGACATCCCGGTGTGTCTGACCAAGGCCGCTGTGGATGAGAGAGCCTGCACGGCCACCGACACGTCGCCGTGCGTCGGCACAGCGGATGACGACTCCCTGGTGGTCGCTGTCTCGGATGAGGGCGGCAATGTGGTGACCGATGGCCAGGATGGCAACGACTGCCTTCATGTTACCGTTGACAGCACCTCCTCGACCTCGACCGTCCGCGTGCTCGGTGGCAATGGCAGGGACTACATCGTCATTGACGGCACGCTGCCAGCCCTAGTCACTCTGGAGGTCCGCGGAGCGCCCCGGCTGACCGGTGAAGACGATCGGCAGCGAGACACCATCCTGCTCACGATTAGTGCAAAGAGCGAGACGCATGGCGTTCACGTGTTCGTCGAGGATTCCGGCAGCGGCACCCCTGACTTGGCCGACATAATATTGGGTTTCGGTTTCAACACTGACGAGTCTTGCCGTGCTGACGTGCTGACGGTGAGCAGCCCCAGGGCATCTGCGACACTGAGCTACGACGACCACACGGGCGAGGTGAGGGCGGGGAAGAGTCTCGCGGCCATGATCAATCCCCCGCTCCCTTCTAACGCCATCATCATTGACGGCGCCGACTTCAAGAGGAACTGCGCTACGAGCGGTGGGTGAGAAGGGCACCTCTCGAGTCAGCATGCTTTCGGGTGTCGACCCCATGTTTACCTTGGTGTTTCTGTGTTTTTCGCAGTCCCTCCATTGCAACGCCGGCCTCCAGTGGAGATGCCACCATCGTGGAGATTTGTGGGCGAAGAGGAACTGCCGTTCATCGCTTTGGAGCCCGGCACACGCCAGCTACCCATACGTACGCACACATGGACGCACAGACGCGGCGCCATCCATCTGTAGCTCCCCACCGAAAGACGCGCTTCCCTTTGTCTCTTGCCTGGCATTCGATCAGCTGGCTGCCCTTTGAGCCTTCTGGAGCCCACGCACAGCAGGTTCGTCACCAACATGATCCCCAACGGACCGCAGGCCATCTGCGGCAAGCGAGTGACCTTCCAGTCTCACCTCTTGGACGGCCCCTTGCCGGTGTTCGATCTCTCTTGCGACGCCCCAAACAAATCGTCGCTGGCGCAGCGGCTGTTTCTTGTGGAGTTGGATCAGCCCACCCACTTGGATGTGACCTACCACAACAGCAAGAGCAAGCAGCACACGGGCGTGTTTGTGTATCGTGGCTGTGAGACGGGCATGGCCAGGGAGCCGTCCGTCTGGCGGGGGGAGATCTGGCACGACCAAACAAGAGGCATCAACACGCTGCCCATCTATCTCCCTGAGGCGGGCTTCTATGCCGTGCTGGTGAGTAACATTTGTGAGATCGGCTTTGAGACGGACATCACCATCACGTGCCCTGATGATGGCGGCTCTGGCTCTGGCGGGATAATCGTGAGCGTGCAGTCGGCAGATGACGGCTTCTTGAATGGGGACAGCACGTGACAGGAGAGTCGTGTGAAGGTGGGGGCATTCATCGTGTGTGTTGGCGTGATTCATTCATGTGGGTGAGGGGCCTACTGGTGGGTGCCGTGCGCGCGCTGCAGGCTTTTCCGTTGTCCATCATGTGGTTATTTTTCGGTGATGCGCATTCTTGCACTCATTGACTGTCAGTCGGTCGGTCGGTTGTCGGCTGTGCTGTTCCGTTAGGAAAGGGCGTATCCGGGCAAATTGCCTGCCTGCCCGCAAAGCAAGAGAGTAGCCCTCCTGTCTGTCAATCCTACACATCCGATGCTATGCTATGCTGTGCATGCCATCATGATTGGCACGTAGGGCTGTGCTGTGTGAGAGAGAGATGCGATTTGCCGGCCTGCAATCAATCGCTGGCTCCGTCAATTAGAGCTTATCTATCAGCTTATTCTATGGAACGAACACCTTTCTGTCTGCTTATATATTTGTGGTCGTTTTCCAGTCAGTGTTGTAATTTATTTTTGTGTTGGTGGGGGATGGGACGAGTGACTTTGACTGAGCGTGTCTGTGTGTGTTCTCTGCGTGTGTGTTATCGCATCACATGCGAGCCCCCCACACGCAAGGCCGTCCGCCCCCTGAAGGCACACAACACACCGGTTGTCTCTCTGTCTCTCTCTGTGTCCGTCCATGGGCTTTTGGCCGACTGACTTGGCGGGGTCGTGTAGACAAGACACATGTGAATGAGTACTCAGAGTTAGACTTCATCGTAATCAGTTCTGTCTGCGGACGCACACCGCCTCGTGGGGCCAGCCGTCGGAAACCGCGTGAAATGACGGAGCTCGCGTGGACTGTCGTACAAAGACGAGCAGGCCAACGACGCGAAGCATCGGACTGTATCCTTGAGAGAGGAGAGAGGCGGAAAGGTAGATGGAAACAAAAAGATGAGTACTTAAGGCCCGATCCCAAGGCGCGCGAAGGCACGGCACTGATGGTGTGCGAAGCGTGTACAGTAGGAAGCAGAGAGAGACACTATCTGTGTAAGTGTGAGTGGCTGTAGTGGTACTAACGGTGGATGGTAGGGCCACTCACTCGGCACAAGTATCCATCTGTAAGTGAATGTACGTCATACGTCGCGTCCATATCGTTCCAAGTACCTCCATCCATCCATCCATCCAAGAAGGATCCAAGCCGAAAACACACGTACCGTACTTAACTTAGCATAGTACACAAACCGGCACGGAATTCGCTCTCCCTGTCCATATCGACAACCTTCCCCTCCACCAACAAACCCCCCAACCCATCATCAAGGCGCACCCGCATGGACGCCCACTGCCTCATTCGACGCACCAGCAGTAGCAATGCCCATCTGTGCCTGTCCACTGCCGAACCTGATGTGCTGCGCGTCATGGTCCGATGAGAGTGCGATGCCGTCACGCCGGAGGGCAGCAATGGTGCGGGCCTCGAGCAGCCGGGCATGTGTGCGGCTGCCGACCGGCAGCACGAGCGTTGCCGAATCAGACCACTGAGGCTTCATCCTGCAGACAAAGCGAAGCAATGGGGACGGAGGCAATGCACAAAATGGATGGATGGATGGATGGACGTGTGTACTACCTGTGTTGGAGCAGCCTCTGGCCGAGTGCCTCGGTCTCGCCCACATAGGCCTCCTTCTCGACGCGCCCCCCCTCCCCCACACCAACGGCCCTCTGCAGCACGTACACGCACGCACTGCCCTCCAACACGGGGGGCGGCTGCCAGCCCGGCTGCAAGTGCAAGGGGGACGGGAAGGGCGAAGACGGCGACGGCATCACCCCCAAAGAGATGGCCAGCTCGGTTAAGATGTTCTCGATCTGGGCGTCCACGTGCGTGACGGAGGGAGGGGAGACTGACAGGGCGGCAGGCTGGCCTTGGGTTGTGGGGCGGGGTGGCGGTGGGGGTGATGGTGCGGGTGGTGGTGGGGCGTCGAATGATGATGGTGATGCCACGACCCCGTCGTCTGCATGGGGTGGTGGGAAGGGGGGAAAGTCTTGATCGTCATCCATTGCTGCCGCTAATGGGGAAGAAGTGAAGAGGTCCCCGCCCCGCCGCGTATTGATGTTGGTCGACCGTGGGTGCTGAAAGGGTGGGGGCGGAGTGAAGTCCACAGGCGGCATGCGGACAGTCTGACCAGATGAGCAGACAATGAAGGACACGTGTGTGCGTTTTGCTGACTGACCTCGTCAAACTGGTTCAACAGCGTTTCGGCCCTGTCCAGGACGGTCTTCGGGAGGCCGAACTTCTTGGCCGTCGCCAGGGCCAGCGAATCGACACAGATGCTGATCGATATCCATACACCGACCAAGAAAGATGACTCAGAAAAGGGGGGGGGGGGGGGGGGGG